GGCCTATAGTTGCTAGGATCAACTTTCCCACCGCTTTTGAATAAGGGAATAACCTTGCTGTATTTCATTAAATCGGGAAAAACACCTTCGTCAACGCACCTATTGAAAGCTACAGCTAAATGTGGGGAAATGAGATTAATAACTGAGTCTATAACTTTAGTTGATATGCCCCAGAGATCTTCAGTTTTTTTAACATGTATTGACTTAAAAGCTTTTATGATGTCTTGTGGATTAACATGACGAAAATTAAATAAACTGCCACAAACGTTAACATTTTCCTTTAAGAGATCAATAGCAAGTGAAGGGGAGGAATTTAATGATTTTGTAGTGTTCACAGCAATTTCCGAAAAGAACGATTCAAAAGCTTGGGCTACTTTATCTTTACATTTTATAAGTTTGCTGTCTAATTCTAAAACTATATCTCTATCCTTTGGTTTAACCCTGCCTGACTCTATATTTATTATGCTCCAAGTAGTTTTAGATTTATTTATCGATTGTCTAATTTTGTCGCTGTGAAACTTAACCTTAGCAGCTACACAAACTTTTTTAAATATTTTCGAATAAATTCTAACATATTCCATGAAATTGGAATTATTATTATAAGTTTTCATAGCATATAGCTCATACAAACGAGACCTACTCTTATGAATACCTACTGTTGCCCAGTCGTTGAATTTAGTCTCTCTATGGAAAGTTAATGTTTTCGATTTAAATATATTGTCAAATTCATTTTTAATTAAACCAAATGTCGTGTTATATAAAGTATTTGGATCCTCCGGTATGTGGGATAGGGAATTTAAACTATTGCCGATATTATTTTGAAATCTAATTATTCGTTCTGTGGTAATCGGTCTGCAGAGAAATTGGTCTGCCTTCTTGCTCATTTTATAATTAAAAGAAGCCAATTGGCCACTATGGTCGGATCTTAAGCAATTTATTATTGATTTAGACACTGCGTCTGTGTTACAAAAGATGTTATCAATACAAGTAGAAGAGGAGGCAGTAATGCGAGTTGGTTCTAAAAAAAGATTAATCAAGTTAAAACTTTGAAATAAATTAATGAGTCTTACAGAAGTAGAACAGTTTTCCAACAGGTTTACATTGAAATCTCCACATATTACTACCTGTCTCCACATATTACAGCCTGTACATACTACTCAAAGCTCTTATACTAATAGCATTTACCCTAATTTCATGCTTCTTCTGTCATACCCAATACTCGCTACCGTACATCAGGGTTGGAATCCGCACTTTCTTGACACGTTTTGGCTACCCATAAAGGCATACAGAGCTCCATTTACATGATTTCGACTATTATTTTCCGTTCAATATCATCCCACTAACCATCTCTTATTAATATAGCCGCGGTCGTAGTGCTGATGATCTTCTCGTGTATCTATCTACCTATTTGCATATATACATAGACGCAGCAATGAGCAACTACCATCGAGAGCAAGGAGGTAGCAATGGCCGTGAGCTTAGATATCGCTAAGGATTGGGTCTGGCACAAGGCACTTCTAACGAAGCTACCATCTTACGGGCTTCTAAAAGGGCTTGTGCACTTGGATCGCTGGCTTTCCGACTGAGCGGAGTTTAAAAGTCGCTGTGGACGGATTGTGCTCGGAAACCATGTTCATTAATGCCGACGTTCCGCAAGGATCTGTGCTATCGCCAACCTTGTTCATCCTGCATATCAATTATATGTTATTAGCTAGTAACATTCATTGCTATACGGATGACAGTACCAGTGATGCCTATTACACAGGCCGCACAAATATATAAATATAAGTGGAACAAAATAGATTGCAACTTGTGTCCAAACTCGAGGCTTCTTTGGAGCAGGTCTCAGAATGGGGCCGACAGAATCTTGTCAAATTGAACCCCGCAAAGACACGCGTTCACCGCTAAAAAATACCCGTTTGTAATAGCGCCTAAGTTCCAGAACACCTTTACCCTTTTCTCCTTACCATCTCTAAGAATATTGGGATACGTGGACTTGACATCCGAACGAAGTCCAGTTCCGGGGTCATTTGAAGAGCAAAGCCAAACTGGCTTCCAAAAAATTCGGAGTGCTCATTAGAGCGAAGTAATATTTCTCACCAGGTCACCGACTTTTGTTGCATAAAACACAAGTACGGCCCCAAATTCTAAAAATAGTATGGTAACTCTATAAGACCTGTGTTTTCATGAATAAATGAATTAGGAATAGAGCAGTAAATTTTTGGAGCAGTAGAGCTCTTTGTGAAAGAAATTCGTCCAGGGAGGTACTGCCATCTTACTTATTTATTCCGCCAATCAGTGTGAGCTTTAATTATTGCTTTTCGGATTTGAAGAGTAAGGGTGCTGGTAAAAGTAGAGGCACTTGAGACTTATCAATCTATGTTTAAAGGTGACGGGCACAGTGGCAGTGCCTCTCAGATATTTGCGATTTAAAGCTCTGAGTGGCACTGGAACTGCTATGGACTGGCGTGTCGCTTACCAGCTTACCACCAGGTGCACGACTTTGTTCATCCCTCCACTTGGCATCATAAATGAAAGACCAATGTTAGATAAGCTGCATAATTCTGTTGCTTATCCTTGGTCTTTTTTCACTTCCAAACCATTGTAAAATTACCTCAGCCACGAATGTAAAAAGGAATTATTTGCGTGAATAGAATTGTACAACGCCTGCAAAATATTTGGAAAAACTTTGAACCCAGTACGTACATTTTTAAACAAACTTTAATCGCTTACTTATTGTAGTTACACATAAACAAAAACGTACAAGACAAAAAATAATACAAACATAAAATGGAAAAGTATTGTTAGCCTTTCTGCGAATTGAAATCGATTTAGTATAGTTATGGATGTTAATCCTACGCACGTATAAACATACTTGGCGAGAAAAAATAAACGGTCGGTTACAAATATTACAAATATCATAATATTAACACGCAAGATAATTTCTTCTTGAAAAAAGTAGGTATGTTATAAAATATTCAATATTACGCGTTGCCACCGTGAGATAGTGCGTGCTGAATACCGGATTCCGAAGATGGTACTGTGGATTATTTTTCCATTCCATTCTTCGATACGTGTTTGTTTCAAGCCATGAAGCAAGTGATGAGGGATTTCGGCTTCCAACAAGTCGGTCAAGCTCGTCCCCAGCTTGCTCTGTGAGATTCAGGTTGAAGCTTCTCTTTTAGATGGATGCTCATGTGCTACAGGTACTCATTCACAATTTGAGGGTGTAGAGCCAAAAGCTGTCGTGCATTGATTGTGGATTGTCACTTAATTCCAACAAAAAAGATTCAGAATGTTCGTTCAAGATCTCATTTACATTTTTTTTAGCAGTCTAGATTTGTTTTCTGTAACCTCTGATTCCATGCGTTCTTCTGAAGTAGTAGGTACTGGCCCATACATACCTATATGTATGTTTCTTACTGTACGCAACCTCTTCCTCAAACTACACTTGCGCACAAAGTTATTTCTGTTGTCTGTATATTTTCCCCTTATTATCAAAATATCACTCTAATATATTCTTCTTCACTCCATTCTATGCGCTCACGGGTATATCATGATAGTGACATTGGGGCTATTGGTGGCCTATGAGTCTTTAGCTTTGCCTCTGCAAGGTTGATCTCAATATCCAACAATCATGTCATCTTTTGGAGTCTACAGATCTTGTCGATGAACCGTAAGTCACTTTATAGTTCTTGGAACTATGACGATGCGACCTTTTTTATCGTCATCCCACCTTTTTATCACCCGCATTAATAAATCTGAAGTCAACCGTCTTTAATGACTTGAGTTAAATTGCATTAACGATTACCTATTCATTACGCATAATTTGAGAGCTGTCAAAGTTATCACTCAGTAATAAGCGTCACTCAACACATAAGTCAAGGCTGTGGGTCGTTCTTCGACTCGTCTGGGTTGGGTAAGTTCTAATCTTCATAGTCTTGATCATATGAGATGGTTTCATCCAAAATGCCGATTATTTTAGTCCATTAATTATGAAATGGTGTTCCTAGCATTGATTTTTGGTATTGATGTTCGTATTGGCAATATTTTAGTAGCAGTAGAGCTCCTTATTGAAAAGTCCGTCTAGGGAAGTATAATATATTTTTGCTGCGAAGTAGTAATTTGAGCTTCACTGCGTTCCGATTTTGAAGGGCAAGGGCACACGGGATTTATCAACTTTAAGTCCCACGGTGACGGGCGCAGTGGCAGTGTCTCTATTAATGCAGGAGAGCTAGGGATTACAACTTGGAATCTGAGCGAAATGTCAGCTGATACGCTGTCAATATATTTATTTATTTCAGACGATGAACAGTATTTTCCTTGAGATGTAACAGAAATAAATTGTGTTTGTTAGTATGGCCAATAACAGATCGTCTCGTTTCAAGCAGGAGGTAGGTACCAAGTCAGAAGGCAAAGAGTTGGTAACTAATTATTTATTATTACGTCAGACTTAGGCTCAATTTTCATTGCCGCGGAACGCATTGGGAGCATATTTTTGTAATAATAGCATAATGTGTTTTATGACATTGTGTAACGTACAAACTAGATACGAGCCAAAAAACAGGTCGTGTATCTTCCGGATAATACCTGTGCAGTTTCGGGTGTTCCCTCAGCCAGCGTATCGTATCTAGTTTGTACGTTACGAAAGTTTAGTAGCAGTAGAGCTCCTTGTGAAACAGTTCGTCCATATTTCCGTGTTTCAGCCGCCAAACAGTAATATGAGCATTACTGCGTTCCAGTTTCGAAGGGTAAGCGTGCTGGTGAAATTACAGGCACATGGGACTTGTCAACTTATGTCTCAGGGTGACGGGCGCAGTGGTAGTGCCCCTAAGATCTTTGCAAGCTCTGAGTGGCACTGCAACTGTTATGGATAGGCGTGTCGCTTACCACCAGGCACACGACTTGTTCGTCTCGTCGCTTGGGATTATAAAAAAAAGTACAATTTCGTTACAAAAATTTGCTGCCATTCCGTTCTGATGCATTGTAAATCAAGCCATAGGAGCTATTATTAAAATATGCCTTCTGTTTGATATTCTTTTCAGTATTTCAAGAAGCTATCCTGTGTAGTTTAAAAGATAATGCAATTAATGTGAAACCGACCGTTTATTTTAGTTCACCAGTGTGTTATTTCGATATGGACACATTATGGCCAAAAACAAAAGCCTTTATTGAAGTCGCGTAAAGTTTAAAATTATTTTCATTCAACCGCCAGTCAAGTGGCGTTCGTGCTCACGTCGCTACAACTGAAGTTTTGACAATAAATGTAACTTATAATAAGGCAATTAGTATTTATATGTTGTTCTCACATAAACAACGCTTTCAACATATTCAATTATTGAATTATATGTATTCTACCTACGTTTAATAAGCTACGGTAGTAGTAGTACTTTGTACTGAAATTTATTCCTACATGTGTAATGAATATGGATAATATTTTTCTTAATCTCATTGTATTGGGTTGGATACCGATTCTCGTAGTGAGTTTGGTAAGTTTTCTACCATATACCAAGTACGTTCTTTGTTGGCCACCGGACTCATACCAGAACACGACCAGTGTAGCCTAATGAAAGTACGTTTGCCAATGACTTCCTTTATGATTTCGTACATTTTACAAAGATTTTATTAAATGAAGGAAGTCATTGGCAAACGGACGAAGGAAGTAATGATAACGGTTCATAATGCGGCTTATGAAACCTGTATCTCCGGTTCACTTAAGTTCGTAACTTGTGTTGTCCTCAACCAAGATTGGGGCAATGTGGTGTACTCCGAAAGACTTCCACAGAGGAGACCCGTGGCCAGCAATTTGACGTACATGATGATGATGAAGTGCAATTACTAATACGTCTGTCTCTCGTTGGTATAGGCGGAGGTCACGTATAATAATATTAATCAGGGTATTTCTTGTGAACGTTGCCATCCCGCATGACGAGGGTCTCGTGAATCAGGTGGACGAGATCATCGACATGTGGGATGTGATTTCCACTGAAATAATCCCAATTGTTTTGACCACAAACGGGTTAGTTAGAGTCAACCTCGCGAACAGCTTGAGCTTCCAGCACAAATACAGAAGGCCGTCTTGCTCGATACGGCACACATTGTTTGCCGGTTCCTGAACCAGAATCCCTGACTCCGGCCGACTGTGCCATTGCCGGGGAATACCGGCTCTCCATTTACTACTCTCATTTCAAAGCTTAAAATTAATTTTTTAGGCTATGGGAGATGCGAGAGTCTAAAATTGACATCCAAAATAATAATGTGCTAAACAACCACAGCAATTGCCTGGGGGGTGATTCACGTAATCAAACCGTTACGATAGCGATCCGTATTCACGTGTGACAGCTAACGTCAACAAGTCCAATTTTAAAGTCGTTCGATCCAAATGTCATTAAAGCGTATATCCTGGTAGGTATATGAATCGAACTTAAATTGACTCTAAACGACAAGTCCTACGTATTCTCATCGACCTTTTGGTAGGTCAATGCGTATTCTGCAAAAATATGACAGTTCTTTCAATAGACTTTCGATGACTAAATGTAAAATTTCACAATCCAAGATGTCATTCATTAGTCGTTACGTTTCGATTCTACTCATATCAACGTTTGTTCAAGTGATACGTAAATACCCATTTTGGATAGGACTTCGATCGAACGAGTACGTAACTTCAACGATATTTTGATATCGTGAATCGCACTAAGGTCTCATACCAGGGAAATCCCTATACAATGAGTACCAGAACATTGGAATTCACTCTGAATCCAGAACACTCAGACCAGAACCAATTCAGAAAGTTCATCTCCCAAATTGGTTCTGCCTTCTTCACGTTCAATGCCCACAATGCAAACGGTAAAGCCAACCAGGTCGTCGCCAGGCACCGACTACCTGGACACTAACCGTTTAATATCAAAGTCAGTCTGAAATTCAGAGTGAAATACAGGATTGAATTTCGAAAATGTATACGGTTGAACTACATAATACTTTTAAGTGAGATGGTTAGGGGACGGATCTTAAACAGTGGAATTCCCCATAGTAGGGTACAACAATAATGAAATTATGAAGCCACTTTGTTTGGGATGCATTGATTAGTAAGAAATAAACTAATTCTTTCTTTTTTTACCATAGGACACACCAGAGCCTGACGTAAGTTATTTTTGAATAATTTTAAATATAATTTCAGTTTTATCAAAAATCTGACTTAATGGAAAGTAGGTGTGGAAGGTAGGTAAGTCTAATTCACATTGAGACAGTTTATCTTTCTCCCTAGGTATGAATAAAACACCTTATCGAAAACGATATGCTGGGCCTTTGTTCGCGTGATTTATACTGTCCTCCTAATAACTAACGCAATCGACATTTTTAGCGGTATGGAGTTATCAACATTCTGCAAAATATTATTTTAGCAGCATTAGAACTCCTTGTGAAATAATTCGCCCAGAGAAATACTGGAGTACCTAACCTTACCTATTTCTGCCGCCAAGCAATAATGTAAGCATTACGGCCTTCCGGTTTGGAAGGGTAAGGGTGCTGGTGAAATTACAGGCACATGAGACTTGTCAACTCATTAGTCTATAGCTACTCCGACATTGTCTCAGGGTGACCGGCGCAGTAGAAGTGCCCGTCAGATCCTTGTATTTAAAGCAGAGAACTGTTATGGACGGCACACAACTTGTTCGGCCCGTTACTAGATATTATAAAAAAATACTTCCTTTGTTGTTAAGCAAAATCAGCGCAATTTACATTTTTCAAAGAAACTTTAGGTGCCAATATCTCGAAAGTTACCGAAATGCGTTCGCGTTAGTTATGACAAGGCAGTACAGCGGGCCGTGGGTTTCGTGGAATTCCAATCTAATCCAACCTGTCAGAATGCTATGTTTAAAAGCATAACCAATGGTTGGAAAAACATGTATGGATATAGCCACAAGGAGCGACATAGAATTATTATAACCACCAAATATTAATAAATTACGTTTTCGGATTCCGGATTTCCGGAAATGGTTTTATTGCATAGTAGGTAAGACAAAACTACTGACCTAGGAAGGCGAAGTTGGTTTTTAAAGTAATTTCTAATGGTGCCATGTAAAAAAAATACAACAGATTACTAACCTTTTACCCAAGCAGAAAATAAAAAGTAAAGAGAATGGTCACGATGCAGTAAAACTGTTTCCGGAAATCCAGAATTCGAAAAGGTAATTAATTAATATAGATTTTAAGACTTTCGTGGTTATTCACTATATGATTATCACTAGTATCAGGTTTCTTACCACGGTATGTATGGTCACGGGTTGACTCAACTCAACCCGTGACCATGGAGCGTGCAACCGTTCCGAAATATCGGGAAAATAAAAAGAAGTCATACCGTGGTAAGAAACCTGATACTAGTGATAATCATTTAATTAATTAATATTTGGTGGTTTTAACAACTCTATGTAGTTACGTATATACATGTATTTATAAACGTGGAACACCTTTTTCCGACCATTGGTCATAACATCATTTACATAACGGTGAATGCGTTCCAGAACAACCGAAAGAATATTTCTCGATAATCTTCCTAATTCAACAAGAAAGTTTGTTATAATTATTAATACAAAGATAGAACATTTAGAAAAAATCCTTCGATGAATATGAATATCAGAGTGGTTAAGCATCGTGCCATTTAATAAACTCAAAAATTACAAGAAAGTTTCTTATTTAATTAAACCAAAACGGCTGAATGGATTTTAATGAAATTCGGTGAATACGTAGTTCATGACACGTACAGGTGCGATCTATTTGATATTTATTGTTGTCATTGACGTCGTTTTAATGTAGGCAATGTGTAATTTTGGGTATACTTTTAAGCAACTCATTAATTATCTTCAGTGCACAGAAGATCTGGACGAAGCGAAGAGTTCATCTCATGAAGATTTCAGTGAGAATCTATACGACTGCGAAGGGAAAATCGACGATGCCCTGTGTCAAAAATTTCATCTGTGTACAAATGACTGCAAATCAATATACGATACTTTATGTCTAGATTTCAACTGCAAAGTCCCACGGTGCACTTATATACGTGACTGCAAACAAATTTGTGATGACCAATTAATTAAAAATATTCCTTCATTCAGATCATCAGATAATTACAACGAAATAGATATCTATAATTTGATTCAAGATAGAAAGGACTTAAGATCTAAAAAAAAAAGAAGACATAGTAAAAAAAATCGTGCTTATATACGCGACAACGTAAATTCAAAACTATCTGAGATTAAAGGAAGTAGCAACGTAAATGATCTAAAAGCCTTAAACGTCCCTTCAGCAAAACGAAGTATTTATAACAATAACAATAATAATAATAATGTATTTATTAAGAATAATAATGGGTATAGTTATAGCTATGTAGATGTAAATGGAGGCATAACTAATAACAACAACTTTGGAAATACATTCGATTATGACTCCTATGAAACTATCAATAATAATAACGACATAGGATTCACTGGCATTAATAAACCTTCAATTCTGAGTTACGGTATTAAAGGCAATAATGGTAATTTAGGTAATTATGTCAACAAAGTTAATTATGGCACCAAAGATAATTATCGTGGCAATACCAAACTAAATTATCATGGTAATAATAATGATTATAGACCTGAAGCATTAGTAACAACAATTACTAACAATAACAATTACAATGGATATAGAGTTAATTCGCGCAACAATAATAACAACCGTTATATTTTTGGGAATACAAAACTTAATTACAAGAATAATCAAATGGGAAACGGACGGCAAGTTCTTACAATTACGAATAATAATAACCATAACGGTAAGGTGAAAATTGTAACTAACAACAATAACCAAATGGGATTTGGCGGTAGTGTTATTACTAACAATAACAATTTTAAATTAATGAATAAAGGTTATGGGAGTAGTATTATTACTAATAACAACAATTTTAAATTATTGAGTAAAAATAGAGGTCAAGGCGGTTCTATAACAATAAACAATAACAACAATTATGGTAAAAGTCGTACTGTAAATAATAATAACAACCGAGGAAACGGACGTTTTGTGAATAATAACTACAACCATGGCTCCGGCATTTATGTAAACAATGATAACAATGCGAATGCCGGACAAAGTATTATTAATAATAATAATGTGAAAATTCGTAAGAAAATAAAGCATGTTAGGAAAGGTAAAAACAAAAAAAAATCTAAAAACAGGAAACAAAGAATGAGTTTTTTGAAAAATATTGATGAATACAATGTAAATAATGGTACAAATAATGAGTTTCTTAATTCAAAAAATGCACAAACAAATTCTAGTCAAGATACTAGTAACGATAATTCAAAACAAATACACGTTAATTCTATTAAGAATGGCGATGTTAACATTGCAATGAGACGGAGCTTAACGGAAAATTTTAATAATTACAACAACAATCATAATGACAACATGAACAATTATCTTCAACAGCGAAACGGTATTGAAATTGATGTACAAAATGGCAACATTCAAAATAATTTGAACACAAAAGATGACACAAAAATTACAAACCATAATAATGCATTTTCACAAAATTCTATTTACTTACAAAATAATAATAACTTTGGCGCTAAACTTCGTCTTAGGGACAGGTCATTCCGATCGAACAATAATTACAAAAATAGTTTGAAATTTGTTAATAAAAAACACAACGAAAGCAAGATTGAAAATAATTTAAACCATGGAAAAGTAAATAATGGTAATAATTATGGTAATAATTATGGTAATAATTATGGTAATAATTACAATAATAATACGTTGTCACATAAATATACAAATTCAGACAACGTCGATTTTAGAAAGAATTCTAATTTAAATCCTATAAATATAAAACGATGTTCACGTAAAAGAGGAAATTGGGACTGCCACTACAATGACAATTATGATAGTTATGACGACTATAATAACGACAAAACAAAACTCGTTTCTCAAAGTTTTAAGCGAATCAAAGATGTTAGTAAATTGGTGCGAAATACGAATTACAATAATGTTGGTAAATTTATTTCGAAACTAATGGCATAAAAATTAAATTATAAGAAAAATGCATGGGTAACTTAGGCTTAAAAATTAATAGTGTCCATTTTTAATGTCTTTACCTACAATAATGGTCCAAGTGAAAAATAACCTAAATTATCATATGTACACAAATACATAATGAAAACTATGGTGTATAAGTAACAGTTCCTTACCGCTTTGTTAAAAAATAATTCATAATGAAGGTAATATCATTATTAATATCATCATTATATATTGTATATTATCGGCAATGTATGTAATCCGGTATTCTGTACAATACCTAAGTATTCTATACAATGCCTAAAACAGTCAGGCAATGTATGAAATAAACTCAATTATGCACTTCGACTAGATATTCTAATTCCGAATTCTAATGCCGAATGTGGATTAGGTAATCTATAACATTTGTTTAATGAGGGTCCACAAAGCAATGTGATATAATATTTCATGGACGGCCAAGTGTTCAGCTTGTAAGAATAAGTAACTAATTAGTAGATTGATAATTAAATTACTAAAAGTGATAATTGTTTAAGAAAATTACTTTTTTTTTTCAACATTTTTATATATATTCTTAATTGTACAAAGAAAAGACACATAAAAAACACGTTACAACGGACATATATAAAGCTGAGCTTATCTCCATAAGAGATCTCTTCCAGCCAACTTACAAAAATATGTTACTGATTAACTATCTAACGCGTTCGACAGGAAGTGCTCTTTTAATTTGTGTTTGAAAAATGCCACCGGATGACTGTTACGAATGTCAGCAGGTAGTTTATTCCACATACGAGCTGCACTTACCGTAAAAAAAATTGTGGAAGAACTTGGATTTGGATTGGGGATATAATAGTGTCACAGGTACGTTTTGAGAGGGAATTGGGGGATAAGGGAGGAATACGGGGACACAGTTTCATTTCCTATGTGTAACAATCGCGAAAACCTAAGAACTCGAGAAGCAGGGGGTAATTTAGAATTTTATAAAGAAGACAAAGAACGTGCATATTTCGGCGAAGTTCGGATTGGGAGGCATTTCACCTCAGTTCGAAATTCAGAGATATGGTCATGTGTACGTAAACCGAATATGAACATTTGTAGGCGCTCCAGTTTGTTAAGCAGCTCCTCAGTAGCGTCCAAATAACAAACATCGGCATAGTCGATAAGAGGGAGTACTAAGGACTGAGCAAGCATTACCTTGTTGTTGAACGGTAAGAAGGATTGAAGCCGCTTGAGAAAATGATAGGAAAAGTGCCTTAATAGTTTCAATGGCAGATTGGATATTGGCTCCATAAAAATATCTATAAATTTGCAATTCATCTGCGTATAAGTGGAATTATATATATAATTACATTATAGTAACAACAAAAACTGATACACTAAATATGCACGCTACACAAATCTAACTTAACAGACTGTTTATTGCATTAAGCAAAACTGTTATATTAAGTGATTATCTGATATTTGACTGTAAATCCAATAATTCTTTGACTTATTATAAAAATTTGGAACAAAGCACGCATTAAACTTTTAGGAACATTAGTTTTCCTTTGTTCGCTTAAAGTAAAGCATTGAAGATTAAGTTTTTGCTAAAAAAACCGTAGCAGGGTTTGAACCACCTCGATACTATTCTAAATTTTTCATTTAATACTTGCCAAATCTACGGCCAGCTTTCTATACAATACCTAGGTATTCTATATAATGCCTAGGAAATGTGTATAATAGTTAAAAATTATTAACTATTATATACATTGCCTAAAGACGCCAGGCATGGTAATGAATGACTAGGTATTTTATAGAATCCCTGAGTTATACACATTGCCGTTAACATATATACACAATATCAGTACTATTATTAGAAGAGTTCGCAGGGAATACAATATGTATATTTATGAGTCTTTTTTGACGATGGAGTAAAATGATAGATCGTTGCGCGAAAGGGTTGCCCGCTCGCAAGCTGCATTCGAATATCGACTGAGTGTTGGTCACGCTTATGCAATAAATTTGTTTCATTTGAATCATCAACGGCCCATTATTCGTCCAACTGCTCGGTATAGGTTCATTTTAATTGTCATTTTTTTTGTAAGTTCATACATACATACATAGTCTGCAAAAAATACTATATATATATATATATATATATATAGTATAATGAGTTTAGTAGCAGTAGAGCTCCTTGTGAAAGAGTTCGTCCAGGTTAGTACTGCCACCTTACCTATTTCTGCTGCCAAGCGCTAATGTCAGCATTACTGTGTTCCGGTTACGAAGGGTTAAAGGTGCTGGTTAAATTACAGGTACATGGGACTTGTCAACTTATGTCTCAGGGTGACGGGCGCAGTGGTAGTGCCCCTTAGATCTTTGCAATTTAAAGCTCTGACTGGCACTGTAACTGTTATGGACAGGCGTGTAGCTTACTATCAGGTCCAAAACTTGTTCGTCCCATCCCTTGATGTTATAAAAAATAAAGAAAAAAGTCCGCCTGTTTTTATTAAAATGTATATGAATAAAAACTTATTCCGATTGCAAACTGCCGATTATAACAATAAGAATAAAGAAAGACAAGAACGTAATTAGCAGTCATTAGAACGTCGTAACATTCACATTTCTGACATTTTTGGCATAATTATAACTTCTTAATTATAATTTCTTCGACAACAACTACATGATTATTTAAAATTCTATTAAACTGGTAACCCTGCAAATATCACTTTACTCCGTCCATAAAAAAAAACAGAGTTTAATTTACCTTTCTAATAATGTAATTAAAAAAAATATTATTACTACCTACTAATGATAATTATTTAGCTGTAAACGATGACAAGGAGGTCTACAAATTGTGAATTAATTGCATAGGATTTAAATTTTAAAAATGTCATAAAAATCATAATGACTGGTAATGTTTAGTAACAAATATATGAGTTTTACGTATTCTTGTGCCTTATTAAAGTAAAATCAACTTGGCCATTATTTGGCTTTCGGAAGGAGGTGTGCCACATGTATAGATACACTTACAGACATATCTACAAGGAGAACCATTGAGTTGTAAAAACTACCAAATATTAATTAATTACTTTATCGAATTCCGAATTTCCGGAAATGCTTTTAAGCTTCGTAGGACAAACTACTGACCTAGGAAGT